TAAAAATTAAAACGTTTTTAGTTAAGAGTTCTAATAGTTTTTTTTTTACTTTTCAAATAATTTTAATACTTTTAAAATTAAATAATGTACAATAAATGTTTGATTTATAAATCATTTATAAATGATTTTATTAAAAATAAATAAGTGTATAATATAAGTTAAATAATTTATAATAATTTATAAACATATAATGTAGAAATTTGTAATTTATACATTATAATAGAAACAATATATAATGTATTATATACATTGAAATATTTAATAAAGATTAATTTAATTTAATTACAGAGTTGATCCCGCAAAGACCTATTTTATTTTATTATTTAACTTATAATAAGTTTCATATAGTTCAATTATATTTTGATGTTTCCCAGAACTGTTTGTTTAACCCTAAAACAAAAGGCGACTCATTTTCCAATTTTGGACACAATTTTAAAATCAATATAATAGCAAGCAGTTTATATTTTCATTGAACACTTTTAGTGATGCTTCCAGATAAATGATTGTTAATAAAAAATACTATGTTCTGGTGAATTGTATAATTATTGGCTGATGGGATAATGATTTATAATATGTGCCATTATATTGTCAAGGCAACTGTAACGTATTATAGCTTAATTGATGATGATGTTCATTTACATCTTCAGGTGAAATCTGCTGAAGCTTCAGCTAAAGTCACTCCAGACTTTAAGGTTTGTTTAGAGCGACTCTGTACTTCAATAATCAGTTTATTGATGTTAGAGATGAGCACCATTTGAATTCTCACATTAGGATGATTTAACGTCCTCATCGAAACACGCGGATCTCGTGGCTTTGGGAGAGAATAAAGCAGAAGATGTGGACTGCAAACCGGTACAAACACACAATAGCTCTCTCTGTGGTTGACATGTGCTGGGATTTGAGTGTTCGCTCTCGATTATTATTATTATTAATAATAATAATAATAATAATTGTTTATTAAAATGTTACTTTTTGTATTTGTATTTATTTATTTTTACAGAAGCAGCTGCAGAAATTCAAGCCTCCTGTGCCACGGCGACCATCAAAGGTAATTTATTCTGTGTTTGCAGGTTTATGAGAAATATAATGTGAGCTTTAGACTGAAAGCATGGATTTTAAATCCATAAACCAACAGGCACCCATTCTTAGAACATTCAGGGATTAAATTGCACAGGATAATTCAATGAAGTTTCAATCTACATAACTCTTATTTTCATCTTTGCTCTGGCATTATCTATTGTTTTTTTTTTTTTTACTAAAATTAAAAGCATAACATCATTTTTTTTTGTTAATTGCAATAAAAAATGTTAAATGTTTATAAATGTTAGATAAAATAACATATTTAAAAAAACTATAAAGAAAACATATATAAAAATATTTGATTTCAGACAGTTGCAAAAGCAAAGTTTCTAATTCAGTTACACTGGAAGTACTGCAATAACTAAAACTAAAATAAAAACTTATGTTTTTTTTTTTTTTTTACTAATAAAAAAGACAAAAACATGCAACAAAATTGATAATACTTTAAAATTAAAATTAAAACAAGATTTAAAAAAATATGAATAAAAACTATAATAGTATCTGATTTTCTGCTGATTATTTCAGGATATGTCTGCAGTTGCTCTGAAATCGATGAATGGTCCTCTGATGGAGGCAACGGTATTTTCACTG